GTCAGATGAAGTGGGAGTGGTCACAGGCATTTTTTTTTTAGAGCCTGATAAGGGGAATTTGAGTTGAGGAATATTTAGCTTTGACTTAACATGGTTTTCAGTCATTCCTGTGTATAGTTCAGTTACAGCTAAACGTCTCAGTCTAGGAACAGCTTCCAGGAACACTCCTATGCCATACAGTGCCAACTCAGCATCATGCCCTGAAGAGACGGCCAGCGGTCCCATCACAATCTGTGTGTTTCCTCTGACACCCAGCACCAGGAGTATGTGAGCAGTGGAGGAGAAAGCAGGTTTGAAATGGCCTTTCCCTTCTTATCTTGAGAAGGCTGATGCATTGCCACACACTGAATCCACATCCCAGGTGGAAATAAAATGGTCCCAGCTTCGTTGGTCTTTTTTAGTAGGTGAGTGAAAGCTGGCCCTGGTATTTCTCATCAGACCCCTCCTTATGCCTCATTGGAACTCAGAAGCTCCTAAGATTGGGCAAGTGTGGGATGTGGATGTCATGACTGACTGAGACCAATAATAATATATTACATGTGGCTACTCCAAACTGAAATGAGGTCTTGGATAGGCAACAACAGTGTCTGACATAAACAGCTCCCCCAGGTCTAGACCCCAGGAAACCTGCCTGCAGGAGAGCCTGGATTCGCACAAGAGACACACTTATAGAGAATCACGGTCTCATGTACACCAGCCCTGAGGGTCCAGAGATGGAGCAAGAGAGAGGACAAAAATGAGTTGCAGAGTTGGCGGCAGGATTCTACAATCATCATTGCACCAGGCCCACACTTTCCGAAGTCAGAAAATGATAGCAAATGCCCATCCCTCTGAGCAGTTAGCCCAGAAAACAGTGTTCCCAGAGCCCAGTACTTATCACAACCCAGTCTCTGGTTTTGCCAAAGAAGGAAGCTGAGCTTTAGAGGGAGCTGAAGCCAGGTGAGGAGCAAAGAAGAGAAAAGCGCCTCAGGTTCAGCCTTATCTGATCACCAGCTGGCCTGCACTGGTTGTCCAACACCTACAACCTATGAACCTAAATTTCACTGGGAGGACTTCCCTGGGGGTGCAGTGGGTAAGAATCTACCTGCCAATGCAGGGGACACGGGTTTGATCCCTGGTCAGGGAAGATCCTAAATGCTGAGGGCAGCTAAAGCCAGTGCGCCACGACTGCTGAGCCCACATTGTTGAGTCCCCAAGTCGAAATTACTGAAGCCCACGTGCTGCAACTGATGAAGCCTGTGCACCTAGAGCCTGCGCTCTGCAACAAGAGAAACCACCTCGATGAGAAGCCTGTGCGCCGCAGCGAAGAGTAGTGCCTGTCCGCCACGGCTAGAGAAAGCCTGAGTGCAGCAACAAAGACCCGGCGCAATCAAATAAGCGAATAGATGTCACTGGGAAATTTCTCCCACCGAGAGTGATTGTTTCCTGAGTGTACAGTCGTGGAGGAAACCCTCATCTGTGTGCTGCCTCCTTCACAAGAGGATGGGGTGTGGGGCATTCCTTTCTTTTTGAAAAATGTGGAAATGTGCATTAACAAAACCCTCATCATCAGATCTCACTTGAGGCCCATCATCCCCCGCTGTCATGTCTGTTTAAATTATTTTGATTTCCTGTTCCCCATCGACTTCCATGGGCCAGACATTCAACTGCTGCACAAGGTGTGGGTTCTGCAAATGGCGCAACGAGACAAATGTATCACTGTACTTTGTGTGTGGGCATCCTCTGTGCTTGGTTCAAAGGCTGTGGCCTCTTCTTTTCCATGTTTCACGTGACAGAGCACTGCTTTGTCACGTGAAACATGCTGCCTGGCTGTAGTTTCTCTCTCAGCCCCACTAATTTCACTTTCAGCAGATCTCTAAATTACATCTTGTAGCTTCAAAGCTTTTGCCTCATTTTAGCATTTAGAAATAGGCGCCCATTCTTCCTTACTAGCAGGGAAAAGGGGGAGGACTTTATGTCCAGACTCCATCACAGGCGCAAGGGGGTCAATGATTTACAAACAAAAGTTGTTGGGTGGGATTTTAAAAGCTATTTGGGTGCTCTGCTTTTCCTCTTCCTGCTGCTCCAAAAGTGAATATGATGGCTGGTGCTTCAGCAGCCTTCTTGGGACCATGAGAGAAATGCCAAGAGAATTAGAGACCTTGCCCTGACTTCCTTAAGAAACTGAACCAGACACTCATTGTGAGAAAAGTAAGCCTTTCTTTGCTCACACCACTGAAGTCCTATAGTATCTGTCACTACCAGCCAGAAGCAATTTCTAACTAACACGTATGCTTTTCTTCTGCTGTTGAATTTTCCAGTGTTGGAGGAACTAATGTGTTATTTCTCTGTGTCACATCTTTCTTTGTAGAAGAGGGTTTATCTCTGGTGTTATCTTCCTCTCTACTGTTCCCTAATCATTTAAAAAAGCTTCAGATAAGTTTCTGATAATCTAACACAATTTTAAGATTGGTCCATTTTCCTCTCCTTCATCACAGCCCTTACATGTCATCTTCTCCTTTACGTTCTTTTTTAACCAATCCTAATTTCCCCCTAAAGCAGGACCTTGAATCTTTGTTGCAGCATGTAGGATCTTTTAGTCACAGGTATGTGAACTCTTAGTTGCAGGATCTAGTTCCCTGACCAGGGATTGAACCCAGGCCCCCTGCATTGGGAGTGCAGTCTTTAGTCACTGGACCACCAGGGAAGTCCCTATAATAACTTTTTTTTTTAAATAACTTTAAATGGAGTATAATCTATAAATATATAGAATCATCATGCTGTACATCTGAAACTAATGTAACATTGTAAATCAACTAGACTTCAACAAAAATTATTAAAAATTACAAAATAAACACGAGGTGGTGTCTGCAGATGTGTGTGATAGTGGCTCAGACACCAGCTTCGGGTCAGAGCAGCATGAAGCAGGGCAGATGGGATTCTGCCTGAGACCACCAGACACTAAGTCTGGTGAACTGAGAACTTCTTCCCAGAAGGAGAAGAGACACAAACCACTGATGGGCTTGTCTTTCTCTGCCCACAGATCTTCTGCATTGGAGTTTCCCGGCCTGACCGCGCGGTCCCTCTGCCGCCAGGGCCCCGCCCTGCCCACAAGTCATCCGGCTCTCTCCCCCAGGGGTTCTCAGGCCTGACCCATCTTCTGCACTGGCCTCTGACCCCAGGAGATGGGGGGGACCTTCTGGCTTCCACCAGCCCGCAGACTTCCACCTATCACCTGAGGAGTCCTGCCCAGACCAGCTATGCCCTGGGAGGCTACCTGGAGGCTATCATCATTGCCAGAGACCACCAGGGCAGGCCCAAGGCCCATGGTGGGGATCTGTTCCGGGCACAGCTGCTGGGTCCTGACCTGAAGGCAGGTGTCCCCGGAGACATCACGGATCTGGAGAATGGCACGTACCTGCTGACTCTCCCCCTGCTCTGGGCTGGGCAGGCCCGGGTGCGAGTGCGGCTGATCCACTCCAGCGAGGCAGTCGGGGTTCTGCGGGGGATCTGGAGAGACCAATGGGCCACGGTTGATTTCACGGGCTACTTCCGGGGACCCACTGGATATGAAGAAACTGTGACTTGCAATGTTAACCCCCTGTTAATTGGGGAGGAAGAGGGCACCTGTCACTACAGGGATGAAGATTCAGGTGAGCTCTGGTTCTGTGCTCGACCTCCGACCCTGCCCTGTGACTCACTGGTGGAACATTCAAGTGGACGCTACTGGAACGTGACCACACCACACGAGGAGGCCCTGCTGGCACGGTAGGGGACCCAGTGTCGTCCGGGTGTCTGCCCCAACCCCTGAATGCAGTCCCTGTGGTCATTCTGCCTGAGCCCCTACCCTTATCATTCATCTACTCACGTCTATGAAACAGGTTTCCGAGAACCTACTATATATCAGGTCTGATGCTAAGTGCTGAAAACTTTTATGTAGTGGTTGGCATCCCTGCCCTCTAGGAGTTTTCAGTGAGGGGACACGGGACCTTTTAAAACATGCACTGGAGTGAGTGCTTCGCTGCAGCATGCACTGAGGGGCGAGGGTCTAAGGATACGGAAAAGGGCGCCCCGTCTTGTGTAGGATCATCAGAGTAAGTGACCGGTGAGCTGAAGCTCGAAGGAGACCTGCAGACCTCCGGCCACAGAGCAGTGTCCTGGCCCCTCTGCCGTGCTCATGGCCTGCAGGGAGAGATGTCCATTGAAAATTACCAGCAGCTGTGGTCACGGAGTGGGGAGGATGGATGCCAGCCGACGGGGTGAAAGTGGAACAGAGGGTGCAGCCTAGAAGCCAAGCGAGATCAAAGCTGAGAATCGTCCTCGGCCCCAGGGGACGGTTGGGACCATCAAGACTGGGAGTGATGGGGAGGAGACAGTGAAACTGGACTGGCTTCTGCCCCTGGGGTCTGAGGCTAGGACTGGGCTAGAGACACCCCAGAGAGGAAAGAAGCATTTTTAAAGACAGGAGAAGCTGGGCATCTGGTCTCTGGGACAGACACTAGGGGAAGGAGGCAAAAACAGGGTCCCAGAGGATGGCTGGGGGCAGGGCAGAGGGGGAGGGACACCCACTCTGGAAGCGGAGGGGAACAAGGAGCTGTGGGAGAGGTGGAGGTGGGCAGGTGGGAGGAGGGGTGCAGCTCTGAGGCCCAGGGAGCATGGAGGTTCCCACTGGCTCTATGAGGACGGGAGAGGTGGATGGGCTTGAAGCACTGAGGCAGCTGAGCTGGAGACCCCCGAGGTGCCAGCTCCGCCAGACACCTATCGCCAGAGGTTCTCTGCATTGATAGTGACTTCCCACAGCGTTTAGGATTCCGCACCAGGAAACCTGGTTCTTTCCAGACCAAATTTTGTACTCCCTTTGGTCCGATGAAAAGAACCACACATCCTTTTTGCATTGGTCGGCAGGAAATAATCTAAACTTCAATACAGGAGCCATCTCAGGACGTCTCTTGAGTTAAAGATCAGCCGTCTCTGGAGCGAGACTGCCTGGGTCCAAATTCCTGCTCCACCTGTTTCTATATTCCGGCTTCTATTCGTGGGATCTCTGGCAAGCTACTTAACCTGCCTGCACCTCCAGTCTCTCACTGGTAGAGGGGGACGTTAGTACCTCCCCTGTGGAGTTGTAGTGTGGTTCAGATAAGTTACTGTATGCTATGTGCTTAGATCAGGGACAGCACAGCAGGCTCTGTCGGCTCTGAGAACCTGCTCTCAGGCGTTTGCTCCTGTTGAGCGGCACCCCCAAAACCGCCTCTGTACCAGACACTGTCCAGAGTCCTGGGGGTCCTGGACAGGAGAGCAGGGCAGCAGGGCCCCGTCCCTCAGGAGCCAACGCTGGGCCCATCAAAGATGGGCATTCAACGGACAACCACAACCTCTTAAAAAGTATTTATTTATGTATTTGGCTGCGCTGGGTCTTAGTCGCAGCCATGTGGGATCATCAGTTGCAGCATGATCAGGGATTGAACCTGAGCCCCCTGCATTGGGAGCATCGAGGAGTCTTAGCCACTGGGCCACCAGGGAAGACCCCAGGGTACATTTTAAAACAATTCTGCTTTCTGCAAGGATGCAATCCCTGAGGTCCTGAAATTCAAAGAGCCTGGATGCCTGACCTCCAGCTTCCAGTCCCTCCCCAGGCCCCTAACTCGCTGTGTCCCAGGATCCCTGACACGGGACAGATGACCTTTACCCCTGAGAACTTCCTTTCCTCCAAGGACCCCTCCTTCACCTCAGCCCAGGATTCCTTCTCATCACACACTCCCCTCTGCCCACTGGTTTCTCTTCAGGAATGTGACGAACAAGACCCTCGCTCAGGGCATTCCTCCAATCTGGGTGGCCCAGGAGAACAACAGAAGTCTGGGTGAGTGGCCCCGGGGCTGGGGGGAAGGGCAGCCCTGATTCAGGGCCGTGGCCTTAGCCTCCGGTGTTCTCACTGATTGTTTTGCTCGTGAACGATGGCTTACAGTCCTGTCCCCTCCGCAACCCTGCCACCCTGGGATCCCAGCCCCGAGGCCCTCTGGATTCTACCACCAAAACGTGTGGCACTCGCTGTCCTGCTCCGGCCGCTCATTCTCCACCGCCGACAGCATCCTGGGCTGCCTGGCTGGCCGCGTCGTCCACATGATGGGGGACTCGACGCTCCGGCAGTGGTGGGAGTACCTGCGTGACGCCGTGCCGGGTGAGCAGCTGTGAGGGGCCAGGGCAGCACTGGTCTGCTGTCCCTGAGCTCGAATGCTGCCAGGGACTTCCTGGCTACCAAGTCTGAGGACCCAGTCCTAGTTCTTGGGCTCCCCGGCCCCCTGGAGCAATTTGTTCCATTGACTTTTCTTTGGGAAATGTCTCCTTTCTTTGCGGTGTCTTGTCCCTCTCTGCTTTCTGACCGAGCACTCCCACTTGGATTCATCCTAAAGACTGGCCTCAGGCTAGAGGTTGTGGTTGCCCAGTTTATGCCCTTTCCCAGTGGAGACCAGGCTCGGACTGGGCCAGAGGGTCCGGAGACCCAGTGTGTTCACTCAGCTGTGTGCTCTGACACAGAGTTAGAAACAACTGAGCAAAGAATGACCGGAAAGGGAGAGGAAAAATGGGGTGATGTCGTGTGACAGGAAGCGAGAAAGGAAGGTTTCAGGAGAAAGGCATAGGGAATTACACACCAGAGAATTAAAAGCAAACTGAATAGGAGTTTGGATGGATAATAGGGAGATCCTTGGCAACCCTGAAAACTTGAGCCGGGGGCAGCCCTAGGGCTTGGGGGAGAAGGTTTATGTCCTGGGAAGTGGGGGCTATCGTTAGCATTCCGTCCAAGAGGATGGTGCAGGGGCCTGCATTCACCCCTAAGCCTCCTCTCTCCTCCCCCGCGCAGCCCTGAAGCCGGTGGACCTACACGCCACGTACCACACGGGGCCGCTGATGGCCGTGGACACCGCCCGGGCCATAGTGCTGCACTGGCGCGCCCACGGCTGGCCCCTGCGCTCTCTTCGCACCCCTGTGGCTGCCCTGCACTCCGTGGTCCGGGAACTGGGGGGCCTGGCTGGGGGTCCCCACACTGTGGTGGTGCTGAGCCTGGGCGCCCACTTCACCACCTTCCCTCCGTCCATCTTCGTGCAACGGTTGGCCGGGATCCGGGCCGCTGTGGCTGCGCTGCTGGCCCGGGAGCCCCGCACCCTGGTGGTCATCAAACTGGCCAACACCGGCTACAAGTCCGTGTATGGCAGCGATTGGTTCACCCTCCAGGTGAACCGGCTCCTCCGAGCTGCCTTTGCTGACCTCCGTGTGGCTTTTGTGGATGCCTGGGAAATGACCTCCAGCCTGGCCCTGCCCGACAGCATCCACCCGGGGAGGTGCGTCGTCCGAAACGAGGTGGACTTCCTGCTCTCCCATGTCTGCCCCACCTGAGCGCTCCTGCCGGTCCTGGGGCTGTGGATGAAGAAGCTGGTGCGATGATCAAGCCTGGAAGCCCTTCCCCTCAGCTGTAGGTACGTCGTCTCTCACCACCGTCCAATGCACCGGTAGAAGCCTGGCAGTCCTCCAATGCATCTTAAGAGCTTCCGCCCCCACGTGAAAAGCTGTGTGGAGGGGATGAGATTCCGGGGGCAGAACACAACACCTGCTCCATCAGTGAGCATGAGCACTGTGAAGGTCCGTTTTGGGCTCTCTGTTTAGAGCCTCAAGGAGCCTTGCAAAGATAGGAGATGGGTTCCATTTCAGTTATCAGCGGCCACCCAAATAGAAAGCCTGACTCTCCATATAAAGACTTTTATAGATTGATTTGTAAAATAAGATATGTCTCCTAATTGTAAAAAGTAATATATGCTCTTTGTAGAAAAACTGAAAAAGTACCAAAAAATGAACAAGCAAATCTTTGATTGCCATCCAGAGTGAACTGATATGCTTAGGTGGGGTAAATGAATAGCCAGAACACAGCCCTGCTTTTTTGTGTGAGGATGTTAGTGCTAATAAAAGATGAACACTGTTTTCCTTACAGGGGATCCATAGATGATGTGTTGATAACCCTTGTTGCTCCAGTGAAACATATAGCCATTATTTTCTAATAGATATGGATGAAATGTTGAAGAATCAGGTTACAGGAGAATCCCTAGGGTGTGCTGGCTCCCGTTCCCTGCCTAAGCATTAAAGTCTAGGCATTTTATAATATTAGAGAAAGAAACAGAGAAATGCAATGGATCCCATATTTTTACATTCACTAAAAAAATTTTTTTTGCTACATAACACAGCATGTGGGATCTTGGTTCCATGAAAGTGAAAGTGAAGTCGCTCAGCCCTGTCCGACTCTTTGTGATCCCATGGACTGTAGCCTACAGGCTCCTCTGTCCATGGGATTTTCCAGGCAAGAATACTGGAGTGGGTTGCCTTTTCCTTATCCAGATCTTAGTTCCATGACCAAGGATCAAACCCATATCCCCAGAAGTGGAAGCACAGAGCCTTAACCACTGGACCATCAGGGAAGTCCCCTACATTCACTAAAATTTCTGCTGTGGAGTCACTCCATCCATATAGCCCCAGCGTGAATCTGATTAAGGATGATCAAGGCTTCCTGAGAATCTGCCCTGTAATGAATCAAGGCATTGCCAGTCAACCAACGAATCCCGGGCAAAGCAAATGAAACTGACTACAGAAATATTTATAGAAAGTCGCTGTGCACACAGGGTAGCTAGGAGCTTTTCTGCTTGTTACACGAATGGTACAGAATCGTATTGCAGCAGAAAATTAAGGAACAGTTCATGAATCACAAACAGGAATTAATTACATTAGGGAAAATTACATTTCCAAAATTAAGCATTGTTATTGCTGTTTCCTTAGGGAATTAATTACATTAGGGAAAATTACATTTGTGGAATCTAAAAAGATGATACAAATGAACTTGTTTGCAGAACGAAAACAGATTCTCAGGCATAGGAAACAAACTTGTGGTTACCAAAGGGGAAAGACGGAGGAGAGATAAATTAGGAGTTTGGAATTAGCAGATACAAACTACTATATATAAAATAGATAAACAACAGGTCTTACTGTATAGCCCGGGGAACTAAATTCAGTATCTTGTAGGGCTTCCCTGCTGGCTCAGTGGTAAAGAATCTGCCTGCCAATGCAGGAGACGTGGGTTTGATCGTTGATCCAGAAAGATCCCACATGCCACAGAGCAACTAAGCCCGAGTGCCCCAACTATTGAGCCTGTTGTGCTCTAGAGCCTGGGGGGCCGTAACTACCGAGCTCACATGCCGCAACTACTGAAGGCCGAGCGTCTGAGAGCCCGTGTTCTGCAACTAGAGAAGTCACCACGATAAGAAGCCCGCACACCACAACTAGAGAGTAGCCCCCATTTGCCGCAGCTAGAGGAAAGTCCGTGCAGCAACAAAGACCCAGCACAGCCAGAAATAAATACATAAATAATTTTTTTTTAAATCTTGTAATAAAGTATAATGGAAAAGAATCTGAAAAAGAATATATGTATAACTGAATCACTTTGCTGTAGACCAGAAACTAACATAATGTTGTAAACCAACTATACTTCAAGGGAAAAAAAAAAAGATAAACTGCGATCAATGTTAAATACATAACCAAACAAGTTACACTGATCAGGTTTGGGGGATCAGGAAAGCTTCCCTGAGGTGGTGATATTTGTGTTAAAGTCTAAAGAAGCCACAGGAGTTAGTAACAGGAGAAAGTGGATTAGAGAGGAGAGGCGTTTCAGGTAATGCAAACATCAGACAAGTGCCTTGTGGCAGGAAGCTGCATGAAAGTGTGAAGAACTGGAAGAGCAGCAGGACCCAGAGAACAAGGGGAAGAATGGGGAGATGAAGTGAGGGGTGAGGAAGGTGAAATAAGCACGGACACTGAAGGCCATGGCTTTAAAGGTTTGATCTTTCACGCCATAGGAAACCCTTAAAGAGTTTTTTTAGCAGGAGAAGTTGAGGCTCATGCTCAGAACTCTTTGTATTTGGGGATAATTTTTGGTAAACCTAAAACTGCTCTTTAAAGAAGTCTATTAAGTATTAAGGGCTTTCCCTGGTGGCGCAGTGGTAAAGAATCTGCCAACCAATGCAGGAGACATGGGTTCAATCCCTGATCCAGGAAGATCCCACATGCCTCAAAGTGACTAAGCCTGTGCACCACAACTATTGAACCTGTGTTCTAGAGCCCAGGAACCACAATTACTGAAGGCTTCATAGCCTAGAGCCTGTGCTCTGCAACAAAAGGAGCCACAAGAAACCCAAGCACCGCAACTAGAGAGCAGCCCCCACTCGCTGCAACTAGAGAAAAGCCCAGGCAGCAATGAAGACCGAGCACAGCCAAAAAAAAAAAAAAAAAAGCCTATTAAACTGCTTGAATTAAGGAGGAAAAAAAAATGCTAAGATTCCCATTTGCTTCTTCTCCCACACATCCACTCTCCCAACTTTTCCACCTTACACTCCCCAGGAGGCTGATTCCTATGGACCACGTCACCCAGGTGCCCTTGCCCACTGGCTTCCTACTGGGACCTGCCAGTGGAAGGCACCTGCTGATCAAGGGGAGAAGACCACCCTCCTCACTGAATCACCCCGGGTTGCTGTTCTCCTCCACCAACGTCCCTCTCACTATAACTGGGGCTACTCATTCCCCGTTCTGGTAATTGTTCCCTCTTTGCTCCTTCAAGCATACGGGCAACAGGGACTCCACCCTTGCCTGTCCAAATGCTCCACCTCCCCTGCCAGCACCCCAGAATCCTTCCCATTCCTTTGGAAATGATCCGTTTTAAACTGCCCTCCAGCCCCTCCATTTGAGAATGTCATCTGTCTGCTCCCCTGACTGATACAAACATAGAAACTAATTTCCCAGAATTTACTAAAGTCACTTTATTTAATTTAGAAAGAGAAATTACTTGATTGCTTGGCCCTGTTGAGTACCAACTAGGAGAAGTAAGAGAAACATGTAGATGCCTTATAACAAAAGATAAGTACATCAAAGACAAAGAAAACTCTTAAGAACTTTCCAAGTGAAAGCAAGTCATGTACATAGAAATAAGATTAAAATTGTTATCACAGCAGTGACAATGGCATAAAGTATTGTGTTTAGGTTGGTACAAAAGTAATTGAGGTTTTTGCATTGTGAAATTTGCCTTTTGATATTGGAATACATTCTTAAGTAAACGTGGCTATGTTGTACATCATTTTAATACACATTTCTCACTTTTTTTTTTTTTTTTTTTGCTAATGACTAATTACTTGCTGTTTATTTTACATGTATTTTAGACTCTGGATATGATGTTAGACAAAAAGCATACTTGAGCGATTTTCTTAATTGAGTTCAAAATGGGTCATAAAACAGTGGAGACATCTCACAACATCAACAACACATTTGGCTCAGGAACAACACAGTGGTGGTTCAAGAAGTATTGCAAAGGAGACCAGAATCTGGAAGATGAGCAGTGTAGTGGCCGGCCATCGGATGTTGACAGTGACCAATTAGAGCAATCATTGAGGCTGATCCTCTTAATTTTTTTTTTTCATTTTTTTCTTTTCCATTTATTTTTATTAGTTGGAGGCTAATTACTTTACATCATTACAGTAGTTTTTGTCATACATTGAAATGAATTAGCCATGGATTTACATGTATTCCCCATCCCGGTCCCCCCTCCCACCTCCCTCTCCACCCGATCCCTCTGGGTCTTCCCAGTGCACCAGGCCCGAGCACTTGTCTCATGCACCCAACCTGGGCTGGTGATCTGTTTCACCCTAGATAATATACATGTTTCAATGCTGTTCTCTTGAAACATCCCACCCTCGCCTTCTCCCAGAGTCCACAAGTCTGTTCTATACATCTGAGTCTCTTTTTCTGTTTTGCATATAGGGTTATCGTTACCATCTTTCTAAATTCCATATATATGTGTTAGTATACTGTAATGGTCTTTATCTTTCTGGCTTACTTCGCTCTGTATAATGGGCTCCAGTTTCATCCATCTCATTAGAACTGATTCAAATGAATTCTTTTTAATGGCTGAGTAATATTCCATGGTGTATATGTACCACAGCTTCCTCATCCATTCGTCTGCTGATGGGCATCTAGGTTGCTTCCATGTCCTGGCTATTATAAACAGTGCTGCGATGAACATTGGGGTGCACGTGTCTCTTTCAGATCTGGTTTCCTCGGTGTGTATGCCCAGAAGTGGGATTGCTGGGTCATATGGCAGTTCTATTTCCAGCTTTTTAAGAAATCTCCACACTGTTTTCCATAGTGGCTGTACTAATTTGCATTCCCACCAACAGTGTAAGAGGGTTCCCTTTTCTCCACACCCTCTCCAGCATTTATTGCTTGTAGACTTTTGGATAGCAGCCATCCTGACTGGCGTGTAATGGTACCTCATTGTGGTTTTGATTTGCATTTCTCTGATAATGAGTGATGTTGAGCATCTTTTCATGTGTTTGTTAGCCATCTGTATGTCTTCCTTGGAGAAATGTCTGTTTAGTTCTTTGGCCCATTTTTGGATTGGGTCATTTATTTTTCTGGAGTTGAGCTGGAGGAGTTGTGAAGCTGATCCTCTTAAAACTACATGAGAAGTTGGCGAAGAACTCAACATTGACCATTCTATGGTCATTCTGCATTTGAAGCAAATTGGAAAAGTGGAAAAGCTCAATAAGCGCGTGCCTCATGAGTTGAACAAAAATTTTAAAAATCGTCATTTAGAAGTGCCATCTTCTCTTATTCTGTGCAACAACGACGAACCACTTCTCAATCAGATTGTGACCTGCAATGAAAAGTGGATTTTACACGACAACTGGCGATGACCAGCTCAGTGGCTGGACTGAGAAGAAGCTACAAATCACTGCCCAAAGCTAAACTTGCACCAAAAGAGAAGGTCGTGGTCACTGATGGTGGGCTGCTGCCTGTCTGATCCACTATAGCTTTCTGAATCCCAGTGAAACCATTCCATCTGAGAAGTATGCTCAACAAATCGATGAGATGCACTGAACACTGCAACACATGCAGCTGGCATTGGTCAACAGAATGGCCCTAATTCTTTTCCACGACAATGCCTGACCACACGTCGCACACACGTCGCACACAACACTTCAAAAGTTGAACGAACTGGGCTACGAAGTTTAGGCTCATCCATCATACTCACCTGACCCCTCACCAACCAATTACCACTTCTTCAAGCATCTTTACGCTACAGGAATAAATCACTTTATTTCTCGTTGGCAAAAA